CCCCCCCCGCCCCCCCCCCCCCCCCGCCCCCCCCCCCGCCCCCCCCGGCCCCCGGGGCCCCCCGGCCCCCCCCGGCGCGCGACCGGGGGGGGGCGCCGGGGGGCGGGGGTGTTCGTGGAGGAGGGGGGGGAGGAGGAGGGCGGGAATGCGGCAAAGGTCGGGCTCTATTGGTCCACGCACATTGTACGCGCCACCCCGCACCAGTGTCACTCTGAGCGCCCGCCTTTGTAGACCGCTCCCTCTCCCTCTCCTGTCCCCTGTCAGGCGCACACACGGGTGCAGGCGCAGGTGCGCGGCATCCTCCCCGCCATCAAGGCGGGCGCGAGCGCAGAGGTGACGGTCATCTACCTCGACCTACACAGCGAGCGGCACGTCAAGAAGTTCTCGCTCTCTGCGGCCGACGCGACGCCGCGCGGCTGCGACCGGCCATTTCAGCAGCTCCTGCGCAAGCTCTACATGCACACGCACCGCATCGTCGAGCCGGAGAAGATGAAGCGGCGCGTGGCGGTGCAGGCGCGCAACATCCTCATCGGCTACCGCTTGAAGGGCAGGGCGCGCGCTCCCCCACCCCCGCGTCTCCTCTCCCCGTCGACGCGCCTCCACCGCACCTCGCCCCTCTCTGCAGGTGCGCAGCTGGATCACCGCGTGGGGCGTGACGCTCAACTTCATCCATGCGGGCAGGCTGATCTGCCTCGACAAGTTCGCGGCGATGGCGAAGCGCACCGACGAGGAGCAGGCGGAGGTGCGCGAGGCCGAGCTCGCGCGGTTCGAGGCGGGCGCGACGGACGCGTGGGTCCTGGGGAGCGTTTAATGCTACTTTCGCCGTCGCTTGCTCCCACGCGGCAGTCACTCCCTCTCCGCTCTCTCTCGCGTAGGCTCTCGGCTTCGGCGGCCGCGCTGGGCGCGCAGCGCGGCTGCACGCGGTCGCGCGTGCAGCAGCACCGCTCCGCACCGGCGGGCCGGCGCTCAGACATGCGCATGCGTTGCCCGTTTCCGGAACGTTCCCGGAAGCATCGCTTTAGGCGGACACGGTGGAGCGGGTGGGGCGCGAGGCCGCCGCCGCCGCGGAGGGCGCTGCGAGGGCGAGCGGCGCGTCGGAGGCGGCCATCAAGGCGGCGGGCGAGGCGGCAGGCCACGCGGCGCGCCGCTTTCGGACGCCGGCGGCGGCGGCGGCGGAGGGCGCTGCGGCGGCGGGAGGCGCTTCGGCCGCCGCTGTCAAGAAGGCGGGAGCGGCGGCGTGCAGCGCGGCGTGGCGCGGTGAGGAGGAGGCGGAGGTGGTGGCGGCCGGCGCGGCGGCGGTGCTGACGCAGTCGGCGGCGGAGGCCGAGCGCGACCCGCGGGCGGTGGCGGCGGCGGCGGAGGCGGCGGAGGCGGCAGAGGCGGCGGCGCGCCAGCGCCGCGAGACTTCCTCCGCCGCCATCGCGGCCGCCGGTGTGGCGGCTCGCAAGGCCTCACTGAGCGGCAAGAGCAAAGAGGACGCGGTGGCTGCCGGCGCGGCGGCGGCGGAGCGCGAGACGGCGGCCGAGGCGGCGGCGGAGGCGGCGGAGGCGGCGGCGCACCAGCGCCGCGAGACATCCTCCGCCATTGCGGCCGCCGGTATGGCGGCGCGCGCCGCCTCACTGAGCGGCAAGAGCAAAGAGGACGCGGTGGCTGCCGGCGCGGCGGCGGCGGAGCGCGAGACGGCGGCCGAGGCGGCGGCGGAGGCGGCGGAGGCGGCGGCGCACCAGCGCCGCGAGACTTCCTCCGCCGCCATCGCGGCCGCCGGTGTGGCGGCTCGCAAGGCCTCACTGAGCGGCAAGAGCAAAGAGGACGCGGTGGCTGCCGGCGCGGCGGCGGCGGAGCGCGAGACGGCGGCCGAGGCGGCGGCGGAGGCGGCGGAGGCGGCGGCGCACCAGCGCCGCGAGACATCCTCCGCCATTGCGGCCGCCGGTATGGCGGCGCGCGCCGCCTTGCGGAGCGGCAAGAGCAAAGAGGACGCGGTGGCTGCCGGCGCGGCGGCGGCCGAGCGCGAGACGGCGGCCGAGGCGGCGGCCGAGGCGGCGGCGGCGGCGGCGGCGACGGCGGCGCGAGGGGCAGGAGTTGTGGCGCCAGCCGCCGTTGCTGCGGCGAGGAAAGCAGCTTGCGAGGTAGCTAGGGCGGGCGAGGCGGGCGCGCTTGCGGCGGGCGCGGCGGCCGCGGCGGAGGTGATCAAGGCGGAGGCGGCGGCCCAGCTTGAGCTCACACAGGCCGTCTCGAGGGAGGGCCTCAAGCTCTACTCGCGCCCCCAAAGCGTCACCGGCTACAAGCATGTCAAGTGGGACACCACTCGGCAGGGCTACCAAATTGGGGCCCCAGCCAAACCATCAGGGTACTACCCGACTGCGGCCGCCGCCGCGCTGGCCTACTCGCGGCACCTCGCGAACGCGCGCGACGTCGCCGCCCCGGGCGTGCGCATCGTGCTGAGGACTGAGACGGAGGACGGCGAGGTGTACACTGACCATCACACACTCCCCACGTCAACACTCACATCAGTCGTCGCCTCACCCCTCCCCCCTTCCGGCGCAGACCGAGGAGACCGCGGGTACAGTCGTCGCACGGGACCTCAATTTTGAGGTCGGGTTGGACGCGCGACGCGACGACTCGTTCCTCGTCCGCTTCGACTTTCCATACAACAGCGCCGTGTACGACGCTTGGGTGTCGACGCAAGCAGGCGACGAGTGGTGGCTCGAGCGAGACGATGAGGACACGCGCGCGGCGGCGGCGGCGCGGCGCGTATCGCGGCTGGGACTTTCAGTCCCTGCAGCGTCGCCGGCAGAGCCAGGTGCGCGGAGAGGCATCGCCCGAGATCGCGCGAGATCACTCGAGATCGCGCGAGATCACCCGAGAGATCACCCGAGATCGCGCGAGATCACTCGAGATCGCGAGAGATCGCCCGAGAGATCGCGCGAGATCACTCGAGATTGCGAGAGTTGACCCGAGAGATCGCGAGAGATCGCGAGAGATCACCCGAGATCGCGCGAGATCACGGTGCAGCACGACGGCACGACATGTCCAGGACACGTCGCTGATGTGTCCGAGACATGTCCCGTAGGCGCGGCGAGCAGCGCGGCACCGGCGGCGGGCGGTACGGCGGCGGGAGGCAGCGGCGGCAGCGCAGCAAGACGCGTTTGCACGGCAGTCGCGTGGACCTTGGAGGAGGACGCGGTTATCCGCCGGGGCGTTGAGAAGTATGGCGAGCAGTGGATGCAGATCATCCGCGATGGAGGGCTACACCAAGATCGCACCGGCAGCGCAGTGCGCAACCGCTGGGGGCGGCTCAACAAGGGGCTTTCCATTGGGGTGCCTCCCCCCCCCCCCCGATCTCTCCCCTGTCCCCGCCCGAGCCGCCGCCCCGACCGCTTTCCCACACGCCGCATCACCATTGCGAGTAGGTGCGACCGCGGCCAACGGCCGCCCCCGCCGCGAGGCGCGGTACGGGGGCGGGCGGGGCAGGCAAGGAGAACCTCGCAGTGCAGCAAAAGGCGCCTAGCTTTTGTCGCTGTCACAGTGGCCGACCCGGTACTATGAGGTTTGCCGATTAGGTGGGCCAGACGGCCGCTCCGGCTCGCCGCAAGCGCGCCGCGGGCGGCAGCGGCGCGGGCAGCGGCCCCGCTGCGAAGCGGTTGCCGGCGGAGGTGCTGTATGTGTACGGACGCGGGGTGGGGCAAGGCGCGGCGGGGGCGTCGCTCAACGTGCCTGGCCCTCCCGCTCCGCGCTACCCGTTGACCGCGGGGTTGCCCGTCTCGCTTCGCTTCTACGCATGGGACAACCTCAGCCCGGCGCAGCAGGCCGCCATGGGAAACATGCAGTGGTGGATCAACCTGTACGCGCGCACCCGCACTTGGATCCTGGCCAAGGACGCGCGCGGCGTCGAGTTTTGCTTGGGTCACGTGCGTCAGTTCCACGGCACCGACGCGACCGCCGTGCCGGCGGACGACCCCAACGGCGGCCTTGCGGGC